CTTCTTCTTCTTCTTCTTCTTCCTCTTTTTCTTCTTCTTCTGTCACCATCGACTCGATTAATTCGTTGAAATCCTTCATTGGACGAGCGACGCAGTAAAATTCTGAAAGCACGGCTTTTTTTTTTTTTTTTTTTTTTTTTTGTTTGATAGTTCAACCGCAACCTGACTTCAAAATGTATACGCCATATTTTTCGTGTCTTCCGTTGCGTCGGTATTCCATCGTATTCCATCGTACGGTTTCCGAAGAACGAAATGTCTTTTGTCACGCTCTCGCCTTTATTGGCTCCAGCCTTCTTTCCCTCTCGAGTCTTCCGTCGTTCATTTTTGGGAACGACGACGTCTCGTTAAGGCGTCGTCGATATTTACGCCGCTAGCAAAAGGTTGCTCGCAACGCGGATTTCCTGTACCTTCTGCCCGGCGAAAAGCTTGTTTGAGGAGTCAACGGGCGTGCAGGTTTGGGGAACGGTCAAAGACCGTTCTGCCGCAGCGCGAGAGGAGGGAGGGAGGGAGGGGGGAGGGGTAAGAGAAAAAGAAGAGGGAAGGTCAGAGAAGAAAGGAGAGCATTTCGACGGAGGATCATCCGGATTCTCTTGTTCGAGGATGAGAACTTGTTCCTTTCTTTTGTGACGGCCTCACGGTATAACGCGGAATCCGTCTTTGGACGGAAGTACACAATGGCGATGGGAGGAAGGAAGGAAGCGGCAAGCGAAAATGGCGCGATCGTCTTTCGAGCCGGAAATGAAGCGATTACCGTTTAAAAATCACGCTCGCGTGCGTGCACAGTAAAATCCTTCTTCCTCCTTTGTTTCGTTTCGTTTCGTTTCGTTTCGTTACGTTAATTTTCCCGGCTAGCGTTCTCGTGACACTTGGATTTGGCGCACGTTTTGTAAGCAAAGGAACGAAAATGTCTCTCACAGAGCCGAGTTGATTGCGCGTGCCAATAATCCGTTAGAAATGACATTTTGGATGTTTTTGTTTGGCGCGAAACATCGTCAAGTGGCAGGACGGCTGACAATTAAACGAGTCTACCGTTCTAAATTGCGCGACATAGCCACGTGTCAGTAGTGCTGATATCACTTCCGGCGCTTGATCTCCTGGTACTAGGCGATCGTTGGCTGAGTTGGCAGAGTTGATGTCACCGCGAAGCGATCGAACCGCATTTCCGAGTAATTATAGCTAGCGTAATCACGCTCGTTACTTTGACGCACGTCTCGAAAGCATTTTCTCGAGAAACAAAGTTGCCAACGAATACGCTCCCCCCCCCCCCAAAAAAAAACGGAAAAGAAAATTCCAAGATAATTCCATAATAATACATCGTGTGTAATACATCGAAGTAATGAAGTCGTTGGTGTTTCTCTCTGTGTTGCAGCGTGTGGCGAACCAGGCGCTTACCGTTTCGCCACAGCCGGCAGTAACGGTGGAGGGGCCGGTGTCCAAAATGTCTCCACCAACAAACGATGTGACCAATGGTGTGGTAGCGCCACCCAACACCTTGGCGCCGCGGGTTTCGCCGACCACGAACCCGGCCCTCACCACCATCAACCCGCCAACGCACAAACGGACTCCCAAGGACTTCATCTTTGGCAAGGCGATCGGCGAGGGAAGCTTCTCCACCGTAAGTGTATTATCTCGTTAACTCGATTAAATCATTAAGAAGCTCTGAATTACTGCGCTTGGTGGGGCAGAAGGGAGAAGAAGAAAGAAAGAAAGAAAGAAGTGTCGCCCTTCCTCGGATCCCCCCCCCCCGGCCCCCGATGTGATTCCTCTCGAACTTTCCCCTTGTTACGAAGAAAGTTTCTCTCGTACGGTCGTACTAGCAGTCGTCCCTGAAACTTTTTCTCTTCCTCACAAACCCAATAGCCAGTCTCTCCTGTTCTCTCCTCCTCCCCCTATTGTGCTCGGTCGCGTACGCCACGAATAATACATCGATCTAACGAGTATTAACGTTATTTTGTTCGACCCCCGTCCGTAGGTTTACCTCGCCAAAGATATCCACACCGGGAAGGAGTACGCGATCAAGGTGTGCGATAAACGTCATATCATCAAGGAGAAGAAAACGGAATACGTGAAACGAGAGAAGGAGGTGTTGAACATGCTCGCGGGCGCGAAGCATTCGTTCGTGCGCCTGTTCTGCACCTTCCAAGACGTGGAGAGACTCTATTTCGTCCTGTCGTACGCGAAGAACGGCGAGCTCCTGCCGTATATCAACAAGGTTGGCTCGTTCGACATCGAATGCACCAAATTTTATTCGGCGGAGATTCTCCGTGCTCTCGAGTACCTTCACGGGCTCGGCATCATCCATCGCGACCTCAAACCAGAGAACATACTGCTGGACGAGAAGATGCACGTGCTCATTACCGACTTTGGTAGTGCGAAGATCCTGAAAGATCCGGAGACATCGGTGACGACGCATCCCGCGACCGATGATTCGCAGCAGCAGCAACAGCAACAGCAGCAGCAGCAACAACAACAACAGCAACAACAACAACCGTACCGAAGAGAACGTAGGGGCTCGTTCGTTGGTACCGCCCAGTATGTGTCGCCAGAGCTCTTAACTGACAAAACGAGCAGAGCTTCCGATCTGTGGGCCCTCGGCTGTATAATCTACCAGATGGTCGCTGGTTTGCCTCCGTTCCGCTCGAGGAGCGAGTACATGATATTCCAAAAGATCCTGAAACTCGAGTACGAGATCCCTGACGGGTTTTGCGAGCTGGCGAGGTCCCTCGTCAGTCAGCTACTGATACTCGACCCGACGCAGAGATTGGGCGCCCAGGACGAACACGGCGCCGGATATCCCAGTATCAGGGCGCATCCGTTCTTCGAGGCTGTCGACTTTGAGACACTCCACGAGCAGACACCACCGCCGATCTATCCCTATCTACCCGGTACGTCGGAGAACGAGGAGCTCAGGTCGCAGTACAGGGTTCCCGATCATCTGGAACCCGGCCTCGACGACAAACAACTGACCAGGCTTCTCGGCCTGGGCATCGGCGAGGACGACGACGACGACGACGACGATGACGACGATGACGAGGATACCACCGCGGAGCGCGAGAAACCCGCGCAGACCAGTACGATCGTGGAGAAACCGAGAAGAACGAGGACCACCGCTGACGGTAGTAACATCGCCGATCTAACGCCGGAAGAGATCAGGAACCGGCTGGAGAAGCAACGTTCCTCGAACCAGTGGGACAGCTTCGTGGAGGGTAACCTGATATTGAAACAGGGATTCGTCAACAAGAGGAAAGGTCTCTTTGCTAGACGAAGGATGCTCCTGCTCACAACCGGGCCGCATTTGTATTACGTTGACCCTGTAAACATGGTGCTTAAGGGCGAGATACCCTGGAGCCCGGAGCTCAGGGTCGAGCCGAAGAGCTTTAAAATCTTCTTCGTTCACACGGTAAATTTCTCATCCTTCATTGCGTTTCACCACGTTTTTTTTCTATTCACGGCCTCTCTATAATTCGCTGTCGTTGTTGCTTGTTACAGCCAAACAGAACGTACTATCTCGAAGATCCCGAAGGATTCGCATTAGAGTGGTGTAGAGCGATTGAGAACATGCGAGTCCATTATTACGGCCTGCAGGAGTCCACCGCTTAAACAGAAGACTGACAAACACAGATTGTTTCGGATGGAAACAGAGCGAATGAACGTTCCGCCGATTATGGTAACAACAATGTCCGCGAGGTGTGATCATCGATGTGTATCATTACCCGTTTCGTGGCCAGAGGAGGCGTTTATATAGATCGTTTGTTAGCGTATAACTCGGCGTTAGGGCAGGTACATTCTAGAGTAAGTTAGCGTTCCAACGCACGTTCGAAGCGTTACGGACACCTTAGAACAATTTTCTAGATAAAAATTCAAAAGCGTTAGCAGCAGATTTTCCCACAGGGGAATAGGAAAGAACAGGCAAACTGGAAAGATATGTAATCGTGCAGTTACCGATTTTTTTTCACCAGTTACGTTTTTTGCTATCTGTTGTCCAACTTGGGGGACCTTGAAAAGGCTGCACGGCGTATTTCTAAGCACGTGAACACACACAAAGCGAATAGCGAAATTTTTTTAGTCAAGGTTTTTTAGCTGTGTGTATTCACAGTGTAATTGTGCTGCTGCTGCTGCTGCCGCCTGTGTGACGTAACGTCCGTGATCGAGGTCGCTTGGCAGTCCACGTTACTTTCGTCGCGGAGAAAGGAAAATAAAGTTGTTTGCCCGTGCGAATTTTTGTTATTTATAATTCGTGACGCGTCATCGGGATATCACGCTGAAAATTTCATCATGTTGAAAAACTTTCGTAACGTAACTGGAGAAGAGATGTGAGAACACATACATAGTAGTACCTGGTTGGAGGAAGAGAGGGCAAGATGCAAGAACTGCAGATTATAACGTGAATGGAGGCCAGGCGTACGTCGATCACTCGCGTTTAAAGCAATAGCAGTACGTAGCAATTTTGTTCCAAATATAGCCAAAATTATGTAGAAAGTTGCAAACGAGTTTTTTTTTTTTTTTTTTTTTTTAGAAATGAAAATCGGCGGCGGCATGAGAACGCGTGTTACGATGATAGTTCTGTGCTCGCTGTCGGTTATACGAATCTAGGACGTCAATTTATATAGTCGAAGTTAACCAAAAAAAAAAAAAAGATTAAAAAAAAAGAAAAAAAAAGAATGCAATGGAGGACAACATTGCCGCTTTTGCAGCTTTAATAAGCAGTTTACGTTGCCTGAAAGGGATTTGCGGAATTTTGCGCGTTATTCCGTTGGATCTCTTGCTCTCTTCATCTTACAGTATTCTTCTCGTTGTTCGTTACCCCTTTTCCTCCTCGATACATTGTAAATATTAGCGCGATGTCACGAAGAGCAGGCTTCGTAAAGCATATACTAATTGTATACATAGTTCTATATATATTTTTAAGTACAAAAATCGTTGTCCGACCATGGCGTTTTTACCGTTCGTTTCATAGTCTGATTTTCTTCGCCTCTGACCTGGCCCCCCCCCCATCACCTGCCCCCTCGTGGACGCGATCGAACAATGTGTACAGCCGGGAACTAGAAGAACAGTGTTTAGGTATTAATTGGAATTAATCTTTAGTGGTTGTCTAAAAGAAAAGATAGAAGAAGAGAAGAGGAATTAGCATATGCGTTGTACAAAGAAGAAGAGCGGTGTAGATGGGAAGAATGTTCTCTCCCCGCGAAAGACTTGGCACTTGAACGTGACCATATAAATCAAGTAGATAGCTAATAGAGTTGTTTAAAAAGGGATAGCTTTAAGAAAGAAAAGTAGTACCCCGTTTAGATTTGCGAGAATCACACACACACACACACACACACACATGCACACGCGCGCACACACACACACATATACACTGTTACACTCGTTGCGTTCAAATTATTGTTGTTGTCGTTCTTTACTACTACTATTCTAATTTTTCTAGTATTTAGTAACGCTGCTACGATTTGTAGTTAATTAACGATAATTAACTATTTCGCCGTATTACGAACCCATAAGTATTTCTCTCTCATCGTAATTACCAACGTATTTAAAGAACGGTTCTGTTCTCTTTCTCTTCGTCCTATTTTTTTTCTCACACGCGATCTTTTCTTAATTTATTACGCTCGCCGTGTTCGTCCTGCGTTTATTTATTTCTTATCGTTTACGTTTCCGCGTTAGCAAGGATTACACGCTTCGTTTACGTGTAGGAATTCACATACGAACTTAGTACTATTACCGCTACCACCACTGCGACTATTATTATTAGTGCTATTACTATATCTATTAACTATTCCTATCACAGCGTCGTTGCTGCATGCGTAAATACACGCATACGTATGCGTGCGCGTCGCGTGTATATACGCATGCACTTGTTTACAATGCGTTCGGTAACTTATATTACTACTCTCTATTCTCTTTAGACATAATTTTAGGTACTTTGTAAATAATACTGCCACGTTTTGTCGCGTCGACTTACCGAAACGCTATTCGAGTCCACTTTATCATCGCACGACCAAGCCGTGGCTCAACTGTGTATGATACAGCTGTATATTATCTATACATAAATATTCTATATACATATATATATTATATATATATAAGTATATATATACATATATATATATACAACACACACACAGACACACACATAGATGCATATAGTTATATAAAATATTTATAAATTGTGAATAGTAGTTAGGAAAATCGTGTATAAACGTTCGTAGGTTTTAGGCGGGACACGCGCTTAGATTTAATACTTTGTTGACGTTACCCTTGCCACGACTTGATCGCG